CGATGCCCGCGCCGCGGGGGGGGGCCTCCCCCCCGCCCCCCCCCCCCGGCCCCTGGTCCCCTTGGGTTCCCGCGGGACACGTTGCAAACGCTGGCCTTCCTTCCGCCGGGAGCGGGCCGCGCTTGCCCCTTCTCTCCGTTTGGGAGGCTGCGGCCGGCCTTGCTGCCGCCCGGGAGAAAGGGCGTGTGGGGGGAGATGCCCGACCCCTCCTTTGCCGTCCTGGCTCCTGGGCGTGACACCAGCCTGGCGGGAGGCTGGAGCGGCTGAGGCGCGGGTGCTCGCTGCCGCCTGGCAAACTCAGGCGCTGGTCATGGCAGGATTTCTCAGAGCACCCCGGCGTGTCTTACGAGTGAGTTTTCTCTATGCTGTTCGTGCAAAAGGAAAGGAGGAGAAAAAAAAAAAATCGCCGCTGGGAGGTACAGGAGAGCTGAGTTTGTAGGAGCAGCTGGTGCTCAGGCTTTCTGGTGGGGGTCAGGGGTTCAGGAAGCTTTATGCCCTCCAGAATCACGGAGAGGCAACGTGTTCCTCTCGGCGAAGTATAAATACAGATAAGCAGCTTCAGTGCTTTATCGGCGCTAACTGCCGGTGCCGATGAAGGCGTGTGTAGGAAGGCAATCGTTTATGAAGCTGCGCAAAGTCTTACGGTGCCGGAGGGAGCTGGTGGTTGGAAGAAGAGGGAAATAGAAATGTTGTTCTGTGAAAGGGTTAGTCGGGAGGATAGGAGCAAAGCCCTGTCTGAGAGAGCAGCAGGACGTTTGGGAGAGGGGCTGGCATCGCGGTTCCTTCCCCCCTCGGGCAGCTTCCAGTTCTCTCCCTGCCTGCAAGTGGCTGTACATCTAGCTCAGGTGTTTTTTCTCCCTAAGGACTGGAAAGCCCTTCCTTAGGACTAGAGAGTAAGCTAAGAAGCTGACATGACTGAATGCCTTCTACACCTGTGCAACTGCCCAGACCTGTCAAAGGCTCTACCTGAACACTTGTTGGGGGCCCTCTATTTGAAGGCAGGTTGAACACCTGTAGAAAGCAATGTGTCATTTTGGGATCTTGAAGCAGGTGAAGCTTGGGAAAACTCATTGCTCTTTTTTTCCCCTGTTTGTATTCAGTTGAGGTACTAATCATTTGCAGAAACTCTGAGCAAGTTTTGTGCATTTTTTCTTACAGTGATCTTTGGGGGGGGGGGGGGGGCACAGAACAGGGACAGCTTTTAATAATTATAGAGTCAGACACCCTTTTATTGAAAATGGTTCGTCTGACATGCTCAAATCTAGGCCAGTAAGTGAGAGCAAGTTTGTTGATTTCAACTGCCCTAGCGCTTGACAGAGAAAAAGATGGTTTCTGCGATATCTGTGCTTGAAGGTAGAAAAATAAGAGTTTAAAAGACGTTCCTAATGTCACTAGGCAATCGATTCCACAAAGAAGCGTTGTAAGATGGCTTAATGTGACTGCACACAAAGTGGAGCGTTTCAGCTGCAAGATGCAAGCAGATTACTGTACAACTTCCGCTGAAGAATTGTAGGCATTGCTAAGTTGAAAAGGTAATTTTATTGTCTATTAAGGACTTTTCTTAATGTAAGAACATTAGCTAACTTGAAACCGAGTACTGAAACGAACACTGAATTTTCTATAGACAGAGCATGCTAAAAGCAAATCTGGAGCTACCTAATGGTTACTGAAGGTTCTGTCAGCTCCCTTACTGTAGTGTTTAAGTATCCTTATACTATAGAAAACATACAGTTCAAGTGTTCCTGTGTTGTCGAGAATAATGCTTCGTTCCATTTATTCCATTATTTTTATTCCATTTTAAAGACAGCCATACTGAAAGAAAAATGCCTTGCTTAAGACTGTGCACAGCGATGTGAGAAAGGAGGCCGGAACTAAGGCCTCCAGGCCCTACACTAGGTCACCGAACACCGGACTAAATATTTTATCATGGTGAATCTAGGGGACCAGCTAAACCAGTAGCTGCATTCACATATTCTAAGTTGCTTGAAGGCTCTCAACATAGGAAATGCAGCTTCTTGACTGGTTGTAGACCGTGTGTTGTCTGAACTACAACTATAACTTGTGCCTCAAAAATTTGAGAGCCAATTGCTCCTTTTATTTGTCTATATAGACATTGTGGTTTGCTTGCTTAGGCTGCTACTTTAGGAGTAGTACAAAATACCTTGGATTTTTTTTTTCTTATTGTAATTTATATTACTGAGTAATAGAGGTAGCGATGTCCACCTGGTAATGACACAGTCCCTGTTCAAAAGTGTTTGTTTGACATTGACCACATAGAAATGGGGAAGACTTTGAAAGTCCAGTTTCACACGCAGGAAAATGAAGGACAAAGAGATTCTGTGAGTATTTCAATATTGGACACCCAGTGCCAATAGAATGGACTCTTACCTTAGCTCAGACCCAGATCTGAGTACCATGCTTCCCCTGTAGTTTACTGGAGGGCATCATCTGTGCTAAGAAACCCTTCAAAACAAAGAAGAATTATGGGTAAGATTGTTCTGAGTTGTGTAGGCAGTCTGGCTTTTAAGATGGGGCTGCCTGAATTTGATAGTTCTCAAATACTAATTTTTTTGAGATTTATAGATTTTGAGATTACTCTCCTATTTCCTTTTCATGAGGGAGTAGGAATAATTTCAATGTAGAATCACAAAGTCTTCAAGGGGATGTGAACTTTTCTTGCAGAAGGGTGTCGTTTGAATCCATGTTTATGTACAGGATGTATGTACACAAATATATCCCTGATAAAACTTTTGACAAATGCTTTTGCTGACAGCAAGATTTTGGAAGCATGGGTTACTTCTGGAAAACAGGAATTCTGTTTAACTGTAGCTTTACGTAGGAAAAGAATAAAGACTCCTAAGCATCTTAATCTAATTTTAAGTTGATAGCTGTTTAAGGCAGGGGGGGAATTCTGTTAGTTTATAATTACTTGTAGCAAGATACTTAGCATCTTCCGCACTTTTCAGAGTGACTGTCAGTGTATAAGTACCACTCAACGAGGATAGGCAGTAATCTTTGTATTTCATCCATGGCTGCAAGTTACACTGCTAAATGCAAACATAAGTGTTGTCGATCTGTCATTACAGGCATACACGTGTCTTCAGAAACAGCTTCATAACTATGTAATTTAAAACTTAAAGTGTGAAAGTGAGCCACTTCTGCAAATAAGTCAAAGAAGCTGGGAGCAGAAAAAAGCAAGATGAATACATCTGGAGGAAGCTGTGGGAGCCCTAGTTCTGCAGAACCGACTGGAGATTTCTTCAAGGAATTGTGGTCCAAACTGAAAGAATGTCATGATAAAGAAGTACAAGGTAAATGTGTTAAAGTTTGGGTTTACAGAAGGCTGTCTGTTATCACAGGAGAACTTTGAACCAGAGTACCACTCCACCTGCATGGAACTAAATAGATTTTTAATGTCTTATGTTATGCAGAAAGTTGGATTGGATGATTACAAGTGATCCTTACAGATTGATTGTCGAAGCCTGGCTTAACAGGATTAGATTTAAACTATCAACAAGTATAAATCACTTGCTAGGACAGTGAAGAAAAAGTAACACAATGTTACATGGGATCTGTGTTTGCTTAGGAAATATTTAAATGTTACTTTACCTTTAATGGGTTATGATTCAAAGTTTCCAAATTTATATTACTAATATTGTTTCACAAGTAGTATTCATAAAATGTATTGCTAAAAATACTTCTTAAGAAGTTAAGATTTTGTTCTGCTAATCTTAAGTCACATGATCCATTACTTGGATGGAATTAGAACAGTATCTGAATCTTCCAACAAGCATATCCTTATGCATGAAATAGTATTTATATTAGGCTGGAATAAAAGCAGGTGAGTTTTTGTGAATTAAGAGCTTTAGTCATGCAAGTGGACCTTTGTAGTCAGACCATTCCAGTGGCCTTGGTCATTTCCACCAGCCTCAAAACTGTTCCAGGTCTGTCCATTTAGGTCCAGTTGTATCATCACTTCTTAATTTCAAAAACTGTGGGGGACTGTTTTATAATGTGTAGATGTTTCATACCTACCTCCTACTGAAAGTCTTGACTCAACAATTTGCAACACTGGGCCTTGACACTGTGTGTTAGTAATTTAAGAAAAAAAAAAAAAAAACCAAACAAAAAAAACTTCTATCAGTTTGGCAACTGAAAGGGAAGATGTACCAGATAGTAGCATTTTGTTACATTAAAAAAAGTATGTGCGACCACATGAAATATAATTTTATATTGTGTCCCAAAAATCAAAGAAATTATTTATTTTTTATGACTTTTTTTTTTTTTAATTCTCAGTGGTTCTTTTCAGAGTGGGTGTGATGTCAACTGCAGATAAATGCGGAAGTACTGACAGAATGGGATCTGGCAATCTATGGCATGTCTGAACAACAAAAACTGAACAAACAAAAAGCTCTAATGTAGAAGGTTATGTTAAGTGACCCCTTCTCTAGTTTCTTGGGATATGCAGCACATGATTTTAAAGTTTTGGTTTTCTTTATACAAGTGAAGATACTCCTTAGAATGCATGCTGGGTGGGGCCAGATAATTTTGCCACTAGGCACTCTTTTTCATGCCTAGCCCTTTGTCAGTATGTCCCGCACAGTGTTAGGTAAAATTAGGTCTTCCATGATAACATCAAAGACATGCCTGAAGGATAGTTAATTTTTTCAAAAGGTGGGGATCCTCTTATAGAAAATGGTACTGGAGGATATTTTAGAAACATCAAACACAGGCTTGCCTGGACTTTGCTTGTTTCTGAAGTCTATAAATAAGAAAATTGACTCATGAGTTTCCAATCTAAATGTCAGCAAAAAATTATTTTAAAGATGGTGGAAGGTGGATTAAGGGAAAGTTATTAGATGGAGAAAAAGCTTTTTGCATGTATAATGCACAATGTACTGCCCACTGTAATGGTGGAATTCTTATTATTTATTACAAATCCGTGAAAAGTAGGATTTATGACACATGAGCTTGCAATGGTCAGGCATATTATACAGGTTAGAATATTTATACACCTATAGAATATAGACTAGAGAATACTTCAAACTCGTACAGTTTGAAATGGATTTTATTGTTGGGTTTTTTTATATTGCTATATTGTAAAGGGTGTATATTTTTCCACCATGTTAGCTAAACAAAGGCAGCTTCTTATTCTTTTAAGCTGATCGCTTGCAAAAAAATTACAAGTTTTGTCCCTCTTCAGACAAAATAGCTATCATTTTCTCTCAAATTCATTATGTGACAATGGGTAGGACTCCTACAACCCAGTTTCCAAAGATTTTTGGGCATGGTCAATGTCAGTTGACTTTTCATGGAATTCAGAAGTGCTCAGCAACTCAGAATAATGGTCATTAAAACTATATTTACTTTTATTTCCTACCTGTAGAATGTGTGGAATACTTGCATAGTGCTCACAAATTAGAAAGGAATTTAATAATGCTGTTTATAAAGTGATTCATTTCTGCAGGTGTTAATACTTTCATGTAGCTCAAAATAATTATATGGATACTTGTTGCATGTGTGTCCTATCAACATGATTCCTGAGGATGAATTCAAGTCTAAAGCTCTATACTAAACAGAAACGTATTTCAGCATAGAAATGTGAGGAGAGTTTTGTGTACAAGAAATAGCCTAATTCTCTTCAACTATTCCTTACCTCTGAAAAGCAGAAGATATCAATGGGGAAAAAAACATAGTCACAGATGCAGAGAAAATTATGAGGAAAGCAATCTCATTGATAGATTGCTGTAGGAAAGGAAATGGCTGGAAGCTCCTCAGAAGTAAACAATTATAGAAAACAGGGCTGGAAGGGATGTTAAGAGGTCATCTAGTCCATCTCTATACCCTTAAGGTAGGATTATGTCTGTGTCATTGCTGACAGAAGCTTGTCCAACCCCTTCTGAGAGAACTTCAGCAATAAAGATGCTGCAGTCTTCCCAGGCACTGTCAGTTTTAAGAAAGTGGATTTAATGCATTTGAAAATTCATCAGAACAGAAATTGTCAGAGCCGTTAATTGAAATATTACAGGTACATAGTCTAATCAAGTTGCAAGTTTCATAAAGTACTGTTGTGCGGTTAATTAATCTGCCTAATGATAGTTTAAAGAAAGTCTCCATCACTTTAATGTCATTCACTAAAGCACTTATGAGCTTTAGGTAGTGTAGATTTATATAGTCTGCAGCTTGTCTATTTCGTAGAAATATTGTGTGAAAGACAAAATTGAATTGGGAATGTACATAGTGTGGTGTCACGTAAGTTTATATGCAAACTAGATCATTAAATAAGGAAATCTGAAAAAGCTAAGCTGCCTTAATGAGTATGCTTAAAACCTCCCAATGCTCTGGAAAAGCAAAAGGAAGATATTGCATCCGACATAGTAATTCAATGCTCTTGGATAAATGTAACAAACTGGTTTCCTGCCTTCTCGTGAAAGTCATTTGAATTAAGAAAAAATGCAACCTTTAAGTAACTAGTTTGGTTCCTCCTGAATTCAGGTGAGAGGGGAGATAGTGTTACCTGTAGCACAGTACTCGGCCTTTTGAGTGCTGCCTCTTCAATTTGTGGCTCAGGTTGCCAATGTTACAATCCTAAGTACTTGCTGAACAGACTACCTGTTCATACAGGAGATGCATTGTTGTGCAGCTTCATTCCTTCCGATGGGCGTGGAGCAGCATTAAAGCATGCTTTATAGGGGTTCTAATTGCAGATGCCTAATTGACTTGATGAATAGCAACTACTTAAAAAAATAAACCCTCTTTCTATGCTGATCTGCATGATAGAACATAACATCTCACAGGTGTTGAACACTTAGAGATGAAAGAAATCTTGCTATATTTCCTAAGAACTTTTTTTTAAGCAGTCTCTGCGCGTTTTTACCTCATTGTCTCACTGGCATCTTGTAGCAGTCTGTGGCATGAGTTCACTGAGGCTCTGGCTGGCCTGGCTGTTACATTGTAAATGGCCTGAAAAGTGAACCTTCTCAAGCAAGTAGTTTTCACCTTTGAGCTGTTCCTAGTTCAGCGTGGTAGGGAAGAGAGAAAATAAGTCTATTAGCTGCCTTAACCTACATTTTTCTGTAGTAAGATGTAGTATGGGGTATTTGTTTTGGTTTAAATTCAAAATTATCAGAAGTTTTCTTAAAAGTGTTCTGGTTTCATAAGTTTATCATATTACCCTAAATGACTAATGCTTTTGCAAGAAAGCTCACAAGACACCTCATATTCAAACTGAATTTGCTCACAGCTTTTCATAGTTTGAAGAAAATATGGCGTTAAGAAAAAATTGTGTTATGTTAGTTTCTGATGTCTTACAAAAATTTCTGTTGGATTTGTATTTAAGAAAATATACCAATGGAGTCTGATGATTTCTGACGATTTTTTTGGAGTAGCAACGGCCAGCTTGTGTGTGGGTAGTATCACATAAATTTCCATAGCACTGCATCCCACTTGTTAAGCTGTGCCGTACTTAAAGCATGTTTATCTTCCTGCCCCTGTGCACATACACACGCACCCAAAACCTTGCGGGCAGGTTGGCTGGACTTCTGTCTAGCCCCTGGGCTGTCAGCTGGCCACTCCTGCTGGGAGCATCAGTTGTTTTTGCAAGCCTTTTTACTTCTGCACAGAACGTACATTTAGGAGTGTGTGGGCCTTAGTGGGGGAAAGATGAAATACCATTCCTCAGTTCACCTTAAGGTGTTCCAAAGAAGCTTTGGCTGAGAGGGTCTGGTAGCATACCTGCAATAGATTATGTTGTCCTTTTGTGCCTTAAAACCTAGAATCATGTATTTTTACTGTTTCCTTTATGCATATACATTGTAATACATTTTTCAGTTCGGTGGTTGGATGCTACGTTTCAAGTGTAGTATTATCCATTTGTATGTACACAGACCATATTCTGTGGTACTTATGTAGGCGTAGTTAATGAAAATATATTGACAGTGCTTGGTGTTCATGTGTGGGTTTTTTGCAAAGGTGTTTTTATACCTGTTTAAATGGGAATCTGCATGTTTGTTTAAGAATTCCCTGTTTCCTAGGGATCGTAATAGCTATATTTGTTTCCAAGATCCTGTAGAACATACTCAAGAAGTCTAGAACAAACCATTTTCTCTCCAAATTAGTGACATTTTTTCTCTTTTTTGCAGATGTCATTGGCAAAAGGGGAGTTAGTTTGTTTCACTGATTTTTTTTATTTTTTTTTTAATCAGAATTCTATAACATGTATTTTCTTCTTTCCACTTTTCAGGCTTACAGCTGAAAATATCTAAATTGAAAAAGGAAAGATGCTTGTAAGTACTCATCCTAATGATCTCATTTATTAAAGGAGAGTCTGAGTACCATTAATGAGCCGTAATTCTTGTGAGATCAATTGAGGTTTCATGGATTCTTCCTTCAGACGTTTACAAAACTCTGTTCACTTTAATCATTCAGCTGTGGTCATCTAAAAATATATGTAGCGCTCTATAGGGTGTGTAACCTGAACACTAGGTTGCCTTCCTTGAACAAATGACTTGTAGGGTTTTCTTATCTGCAGTATTTTTAGAATGCCTATCAAGATGTTGACATATCTAATACAAAAGATAATTAGGGAGACATTTTAAAATTGAGGTCTAATCTGTAGAAGAGAAGTAAGTGACAAGACAAGCCAACTTTTTTTAGAATTTTTTTTTTTTTTTTTTGCTACACATTTGCTTTCAGTATCAGGTGTTGTGCCTTAACCCAGCTTTCAGTCATTCAGTAAAGATTCTGGTAGTAACCTTGCTAATTTTCACTCAGTTCTTATATCTTAAGGCGTATGTAACTTCTTTTGCAGTCATTATTTGCTACTAATTCTTAGTTCTGTTCATTAGAAGCAATTTAGGGAAAAAATCTGAGTTACAAGATTTACATGTGCAGTAGAATCACAATATGTATTTACAGCACTAAATCAGCTTTTATTTTCCTTCTGCTGACTAAAGCCGTATTTAATTAAATGATGAGATATGCTAATGTGATTCTTTATTCAAATTTCTACCTCAGGTTTAATTATATTAATATTATGTTAATATTACGTATGACCTGTTTTATGAGTTGCACTTTATAAAGTGCTGTGTAGGAGGAATAAAAATAAATTACTTGGTCTTTTTCCACTTTGGAAAACAATATAATTATATTAGATATGTTAAAGAAATTAAACTTTTCTTAAAATTAGCAAGAAAACCTCCATATTTGCATTCCCAGCATTGCCATCTGAAGTCAAAGATATACAATCTTAGTTTTAAAGTGTAGCGACGGTGCTCTCAAACATAGTTTGTGCTTTTTCAGAATTAACATTTCTATTATCTAGGCAGTTTTCTTCCTCATTAATCCATATTAGGTTTTCTAGTTGTTTCTTTTCTGTAGTTACATTTTTCAAATTGTATAAGCAGGAAATAACCCTCCCCTAGTCTAGAAAAATTAAGTCATCATGTGCTTTTTTGTAAAATAGTAACTCAAGCAACTCTCAAGCATTTTTGACAGTTATTGTCTAAACTCCCTGATGTGCTTATATTTCTGGTTGGGAGGGAAGCGAAGGTGTTTTTTCCATAGGAATAAATTCCCTCTAGTGGAATCCATCTTTCCTTTTCCTGTAACATAAGGTATGTAAATGCATCTTATAATGATACTGGCTTTTCTACTATAATTCGGTCGTACTACAGGGTGTACTTCACTTGCTGTCCACTTTTATTATAACTGTTCTTCTGTAATTAAAACTGTGTCTCACTTCCAGGGAAATTGTTGTTTCTTTTCACTAGGCTTTTGGAAGAAATTGCCTTCAGTTTTGTAACACCTGTGTTGCTGTCTTCCCTAGATACATTTTTGGATTTTGTTTATCCTTTGTAGTGCTCAGAGCTCCTCTGAGCTTCTGTTTTGCTTATTTCAGTTAAATATCACCCATCCTTCTGGCATTTGATAACCCACGGTAGCACTTTGAGCTGCGCAGTGTTGTGTGTTCTCACATTTCAGCTGCATTAATGCAGATAGCATTTGTGAAGGCTGTAGATAATTGCCTATGGTTTTGACTTTTGTCTGCATGGTGTCACTCTGCTTGCAGAGCAGGTGCAAGTGTTTTCTTTGCACTTTCTGAGGACTAAAGACTGCAGAGAAGCTGCTAGAAGGTAGCAGTGGCAGCTGAAGGAACAGTTCAGGACAGGATCACAAAAGGAAAGATTGATTAATCAATTCTGCAACAGTATCCACCTTATTCTGGTACCATCAGGATTCCCTGCATTTACCAAGCCATTCACCAAACCTACCGCAGGGTTTACAGTCCCACGAGTACCTATGTGGCTAACTCCCTGTTCCCCTGCTTATTCACCTGCTCCTCAGGATCAAGATTTGTCAGCTTTTATATGGCTTCTTGTTCAATCTCCAGCACTAGTGGAACACAGTGTATACTATTTGCAGCTGCTGTTTAATTGTGCGTAAGAGTTCACAAATTACTTAAAACAAAAAAAAAAGTGCCAATAGAGTCCAGTTGCTTATTTGGTCTGTCATTGAATTTTTAGTCAATTGGAAATATGAATTCAGATCTTTCCTTAAAATCCAAACTGTGTATGTGTTGTTTACATTTTAAAGAAATGCTTTCTGAACATCGATATTGCAGTATCACAAGGAATATATTAGCAGATAAAATTATGTTAGGTTATTAGATGGCTTTCAGTTAGCAAATATTTGGTGCTATGTTTTATACTTAGGGGCTACACTTACTGTCCTGTGAAAAACTCAATTTAACATCTTGTTATTTCTTATGTATGATTCATAAATTAACTAGTTATTTCATTTTTAATCTAAAAGGATGAAATTATCTCTTGCTGTTATTGTTAACATAACCTGGTGTGTCATGAGTTGCTTCCGTGTTCTGAAATCTTGAATTGATCAGTTAATTGTCTAGTTGATGAAGATTATCAGTGATGTGACTGAACACATACTGAATGGTTTAATTATTGTTTGTTGCAATCTTTCTACAATTACCACATTGTAGATATAGTACTCTTACATAGGAGGTCTTGTTCTCCTTGGTGCATCTGAATACCTGAGGTTTAGTATTTCAGACTTGGTAATCAGCTGACAATGAGCACCTTATTTTGTATCCCACTCCAGCACTGGAGCTAATGACTTGTAAATGCCAGGTCAGAGACTGTTCATTATGCAGAGTGCCTTCATAACCAAAAATGTCTGCCATGTTTATCAGGTGCACTGGAATTCTGGAGAGGAAAAAAAAACCAACACAAAAAACAACACACACACAAAAAAAAAACAAACAAAAAAACCCAAATAAACCTATCTGAATGTCTCTATCTTTACTATCTTAATGTGACATTTTGCAGGGTTTAGGTGGAAGGCATGGAGTATTAGTGTATGTTAATGTCTTTCCCCCCTCCCCCCCCCCAATAACTTAATGCCATAGAATGTGACTTAAAGGTAGCTTGAGAAAAGATTTAAAAATTTGATATTTTAGGCCTTCTGTAAGTTGCATAAACTGAAAAAAATGAGATCTTTTTTTATGCCATAAACATCAGAGAAATACAGACTGCTTTTGTCATACTTCAAATTTTGCAATGTCTGGCTGTACTTGGTTAATGAACTGAGGTAACAGAACTTTAACACTTTGTCCACCCCAAGTGAAAGTACAAGTCTTAAATGGTCCCTCGTGCTGTTTGCATGTAACTGTTTTATGTGTTGTATATGCAGCTGAAAAGGACAATATTGGTCTGGATGGTAGTATAGAAAAATGAAATATCTGTACTTAAATTTCAGAATGAATAAAATAATGTCTGTGATTGTACACTGTGGAAGCTTCCGGCTGTCCCATTCACTTCATGACCCCTGATTGTTAATTTCTTGTATTAGTCTAATACCAGCAATAGGAAAATGCGTTTGACTAATGTATCTTAAAGGGATAGTGCCAATTTAAAAGTATGTCTATGTAAAAGAAATGTATCAACAAGTTAATAAATATGTTTTCATTTCCTGTTGTGTGTGTGCTTAGCAGCTTTTTGTGAGCTAATTTCGTGGCTTCCTCAAGTAATACATCTCGGGCACACTGAAAACAAACACCCGCTTTCATGGAATATACAAAGGATTCCATGGTAAAAAGAAGAGCTGGGCATGAATTCTCGGAAGTTAGTCATTGTCACGTTACATAGATTCAGCTGCTTAGCTTTTACTGAAAGTTAATTTCCTTGTAGAAAAAAATTGTGTGCTTGTTGCTCATACCTTGTTTGCATCTTGAAGAGGTGTTGTGATCCAATAATAAAAGTGAAGGGGAGCTAAAATTGGGAAGTCAATGTTACTGCTTTTCCTTAGCTCTTTTGAGGAGATGTTCTTTGTTAAGTAAATAGTCCTGGCTTTTAGAGAAGGTATTTTCCCCAAGATCTTTGATTTCTGAGGTTTTTGGGAAGAGAGTTCTCTTATCTGTATTCATATTATGGGAATCCATGTTCTATAGACTCTGAGAATTGCTTCTTGAGGGACTAAACCTCTAATGGATCTAAAGACTTGTCAGAGCTTTACAAAGCTAATGTGGTTTGCCACACAGCAAGATGCCCTCACTGCTAAGGCAAGACCAAAATGACCTGATTGTAAAAGACCCCAGTTAGCTTCCCAACAGCTTCGCAACACAGTAAAATAAGAGAATTACTTGAGCATATATTCCCTGAAATTGTTGCTTGAATACTATTAGCTTTTATGCCTTGACTGTCATCAACTCTAACTTTTGTCCTGAGCAAAAATCAGATTTATCAACAGAAGCTCAACTGTAATATGAGTTAGAAACTAGCTGCTCCTTTCCTAACTCGGACATTTCTAAATTAACGTTCATCAGAAACACTTGCTTCATTTATCTTCAACTTAATCTTTGTGCCAGTGATAATCACATTTCCCAAGAATATGAAAGAAACATGCCAGAGAGAATGCTCTATTGAAAAACTAATAGCTGTAATTTAAAGCTAGAACTAATTTTTTCTCTGTTTGATTTTTAGGGATGCAGAGAGGCTCGAAGAGTTTTATACCAAGAACCAACAGCTCAGAGAACAGCAAAAAGCACTTCATGACACTATCAAGGTTTTAGAAGACAGGTGAAGTAGTGTCTTTTAGATTTTGGGTTTGTTGTGTTTTGCTCTTACAGAGTAGCTCTGGATACTTTGCAAGTTGGGTTTGTTTTGTTTTGTTTTTTTAGCAAACCAGTCCTTTTCCAATACAATCCAAATAGTGTGTTTTAAAGAAAAGTATAGCATTTAGATTCTTCTGACTGAATTAGTTTTTTGTTATTTTTATTATTTTCAAAGTGCTTAGCTTGCTTAGATCAGCTAAGATAAATAGAAGTTAAATAGATCAACTTGGGAGGCAGACAGCCATTTTCAAGCACATTCTTTTCCATCCATTTTTGTAGAGGTATATTTGATATCAATCAAGGTGTAATACAAGTATAAAACCCATGGGTAACCTATATAATATACTCTGAAACTCATGAAATAACTCACTAGGAAATCTGTCAGATTCCAGGGGGTCTTTTTTACCCGTTGTCTGTTTTACCTAAATTTAATCACAGGTTCTGTCTTTTGCCTTCTTTTGAACTTAGACATTCTGATCACCTTTTGAGCCATTCTGCCTTTCCCTTATTTGTTCCTGTTTAATCCGGTATAACAAAGCAAAGCCAAATAGACATGAAATTACAGTGCATTTTTTCATCTTTAAAAATGATACCTGTTTTGGAAACTGTGTGTTAAATTTGCTGCTAATAGTCTCTCAGAAGCTTTCTGGGAACAGGAGATCATTGCATAGTAAATTATTTTCCCACATTCCTGTGTTACCTCAAATTTTAGAGCTGTAGTACTCAAATTTTGCTTTCAACTCTATTTCTCTGTGAAAGGCATTAGGGATAAACTTGTAGCCATGCAGGTAATAAACTTTCACAGCACGTAGGTGGAGAGACATTTGCAGAGTGGATGGACTTTTCTAATCTCTTAGCAGATGAAGTACTCACATTGTGGAAAACAAAAAGAGTATTTAAAGTGGTTTAATAAAAGGAGATGATAATACTGTGTTTATTACACAGTTAGTCAGATAAGCTAGTATGAAGAGGCATTTCAGTATTTTACTCCTTCCATAATTCCCCAATATTAAAATACCCATAAGCCAAGATGGCTTTTGCTTCCAGTATTCAACTGTGGAATTGGAAACTTAGGTGTTTTGTTTGGTTGGTTTTTAATGCTTCATGTGCTAGCAGCAGCAATGCAGAATTCTTAACTAATTGGTCTCTTATTTAGCAGGCAAAAGAGAGTCTGGTTTTCACTTTGATAATATTGTTAGCTTTTTGTTGTGTACCAGAGATAAATATGCTTCAGTTATCACCTGTAAAGTGAACACACATTTTGTTGCATGAATGAATGTGTCAAGTAAGATGGAGTGATCATAAGTCCTTTTCTGATATAGTGGATATGCTTTAAACAGCTGATCTAAACCATTAGAGACAGTGGAGGCAATGCCTCACATGGACTTCTGGATCCACTTCTAATTATTGCTGTCTAGAGAAGGATTTCACATTTGCTTGGTGTTTGTTACAGAGCGAACTTACTATTTGTCCTTTTTATTTGATTACTTTGCTTAATGACAGCAATATATCCTTCCTAGATGAAGTAGTATTTACTGAAATGATTTGCTTATTTGTATTTACTTGAATGAACTTTACTTATAATGAATGGTAATTTATATCTGACAGTATTCTTAGTAGGACAACGCACAAAGGCTTTCAGTGGCAAGGTGTAGCATGCTCCGCTTTATTAAAGTAATGCGTGTTGCTTTAGAAGTATCCAGTACCTACAGTCATTTATGCAAATGTTAGTACATGTAGTATTACATTGTTCAGAAATCTCAAAATATTGCTGTGTCAACATACAAAACCACAGTACTTAGTGGTGTTCTGCATAGTTGTCACAAATGTTCTGGTTTTCATTGTTCAAAAGGCTAGTTAAGTGTGGGTATCTGCTTCACATATGGCAATATTTTCTTAACGGAGGGACTTTTTTCTCTTAATTTTATTGTAGATTAAGAGCGGGATTATGTGATCGTTGTGCTGTAACTGAAGAACATATGAGAAAGAAGCAGCAAGAGTTTGAAAATATCCGGCAGCAGAATCTTAAACTTATCACTGAGCTTAGTGAGTTTTACCCACGAGTTTGAAGACAGAACATACTATTTTGTAAACTAGTTCTTCATGAATTCCTGTAACTCGATATAATTTACATATGGTGTGTTTAGTAAGCCCAAGAAGTTCAGTTGGGGGACACTTAACTCTACAGTCTGAAAATACGTAACATACCAATTACTAGTCATTTGACCCACCTTCTTAGTTTCAAGTGCTGATACTGAAAGTGAACTGACGTGGAAAATCTTACAGTGTGAAGTAGCTACTGTAGATAAAATGTGGCTGCTTCTGTTTATTCCTACAGCTAAAGCATAGAATGACTGATTGCCAGTTTTCCTAAGGAAACCCTGATTTCAAAAGTCACTGGTGATCACAAAGTAGCAAGTCCAAACAGAAGTTCCCTGGGTCCAGCTTGTGTCCTGTAGTTGGTCTTGGAGTTTAACTGCAGTAACCCATAACCTTCGCATAACCCTCTGAAGCCACAAAAGAATCGCTTCATGCCCCGTAGGTTGTAGCCAGCTCATTTTGAAATCAGGAAGTCGTACATATGGGACAGGAAAAAATAAACTCTTCTGGGTGACATGAAGGCAGGACGCAACAAATGTCTTCATAAAGAGAGTTTGGAAAGATTGGTTGTATAAAGTGCTAAAAAATACAGAACAGGATTTTAAAATGTTAATGATATCTTTCCCATTAATTAATTATTTTGTGTCCTTTAGTTGTCTAGCTTGATCAAGAACAAGCAGACATTCAGTGAGATTTAAAACATGGGAAATGCCAGACACAAAAAGTAGCTTTTAAGTGCTTAAATTATAGAAATATTAGATTCTGTACTAATATAAAATACATCAATTTTTCAAGGACTTTTAGTATTGGATATTAATATGAAAATATTCTGAATTCTTGAGTTCAATGATTAATAACAAAGAGGGTACAAACAATCTTTAAATAAATCTCGGAGCCTTAAAAATCGAGGTGAGGCCTATTAGGTACAAATCTTCTTGAACGCTGTCTGACAGAACAATAGTCTTCCATGGGCTTGGGTTGAGATCTATATGACAACTTAGGTATTTCCTGAAACCAGCAATAAAGGTCAGTGAAGAATAATCCAGAGGTAATATATAAAACAAAAAAATAAGAACAAGAAAATAAAAATTAAAGTGAACAGAAAAGGTGGGAGCTATCATTACATTAGTTTGAGACAGCATGGAAAAAAAAAGGCTGAAGGTGATGCAGTAAGCTTGTGTAGTATGGGCAGAATGAATTGGAAATTAAGAAAAGTAAATAAAAAATTTCTGACAAAATATTTAACTGATTTTAAGAAATTGGTTTGTTTTGTTTGGTTGTTTTTTTTTTTTCCATTCTCTCCAATTAGCTGGTTGCTTTTGTGGCTAAAACCAAATTCTAATTACTTTATACTTCATAGGCTGTCTTCAACCCAAGGAAGCAATTTTGTCCATGGAGCTGAGTGAGCAATTAATTCATCTTTACAACACCATCTCACTTGCATGTAGATGGACAAAAGTAATTAATGATTGTGTGGCACTAATATTATGATCCAGTAATTGTGACACATTTGCCTTTTCTAACACATCATTTTACAACCTTTTTAATGACTAGCTTGAAAATTCATTTTGGTAAGCCATAGAGGGTCTATGGTATTATGTTTTAGAATTAGTTCTGTTTCCTTAAAGGACCTGACAAAATTAGATATGATAAGATGTTAACATGTGTGCATGGATTTTTTCTTTTTTTTTTTTCTATAAATTACAGTGAATGAAAAAAACAACCTACAGGATGAAAATAAAAAGATAACTGAACAGTTCCAGCAATTACAGAAGGAGCTGGGGTAAGTTTGGAGGTTTTTTGGATATCCCCCCCCATTCCCGAGTAGTAATGTCTGAGAATATAAGTATCAGCTTTCAAGTGTTTAAAATTTGAGTTTCCTCTTCCTTAATAGATTGTGAAAAGATAGTCTACAGCCACTATAACAACGTAAAACTAGCAGCCTTGTATTGTGCAGAATTTTTGCTTTTTTTTAACTCTGTGCATCTTTCTTTTTTTAAACTGAGAGAGAGACATAAATTTGTCATAGAAATTCTGTTTGACTTCATGATTGTTCAAGATTATTCTGGTCACAGTGCATAGCAAAGCCTTATGTCTCACTCTTATCACTCTTGACTCGTCACCAATTCTTTCCTCCTAGGTTAAGACTTTAGAAAAGTAGTTTCTCAGCTAGTCAGAAAGTCCCAGGATCTTGCAATAAATTTTTTAAATAAACTTATGATAATTTTGTGATTTTAAAAAGAAAAAAAATAGTAAATTTCAAAAGAAAACCATAAAAATAATGAGCTACAAATTGACTGTCAAACTGTAATCTGATCTGATAGCAAGAATATGCCATATAATGTTGTGGTTAATATGCACATATGGTGTACTGTGCAAGGCAGAGGTAGTACTCCTTTCTTGTGTAGCTGTGGTCTGACATAATCTGAAACTTATCTCAGTTTTGTCTGTCCGTGAACAAGCTGCGTACGTGCATGGGGGGAGAGGGACAGGATGTGTGGACTTGATACATAAGGCTTTTTCTGCATGTAATTTTTTCTTGTCTTTGTCAGAAAGTAACTTTGGTAGAGGAGTGAAACAACTTAGAGTTCAGTTAAAAATGACTGTGGACCTATTGCTTTGTATTTCTTGGTTTGTCTCCCATCATTTGCGCTAATCATTCTTTCTTTTTCTGTATGCGTTTCATCTTCTCGGAATAATGTATTTCATGACCCTAGGAGTACTCCTTTTTAATACCAAGTAGCAACAAATTTCTATATGCTTCTCAATAATGCTTCTCCTGTGCAGCTTGACAGCAGTTAGGAGGTGACGTTAAAAAAATTGACACCTGACAGATCCATCCAAATGTATTAGTTTGATCCTCAGTCTTGAAATTTACTTTCCAATACAAATCTCCAGCCACTGTAGGGAAGTTGAGAATGAACGATGTAACACCAAGTTATTTGCTCTGCATGTAAGGTGGTCATTTAAATGAGTGCACAGTTGAGTTGGACAAACAGTAATTAACAAGGATGGTCCTGCTGTTTGTGATATAGCCACTGTATTTGTTTCGGTTGAACTGTAGTCATGTTACTTTGTTTAGAATGAACAACTTACATCAATGTAACATCATCACATAAGTGCAAGGTAACAGATTGTTTCTGGTGCATGACATGAAATTAGATTTTTGCAATCTTCTGTATTTTGTTACCAAGGTTTAATGTTTTGGGAAAAAAAATCCAAGAATACTTCATAAAAGTGAAATCAATGAAACTTTAGAAGAATTGTATTATCTGGTCCTTTATCAGATTAGAATTTCATTACCAATGGATGGAAACAGCAAGGAAATTTCTGCAAAAATCTTTTCTGGGATCTCAGATAAATGTTTCCATGATTCAGAAATTATTTATTGTGTATTTATGATGTCTAATATGTATGGCAGCTTCTTCATTTGATAGTTTTTTGTGGTGGCATGTAGGAACTACCTCTTGGTTTGCATGTGAGTAAGGTACAGAAAAATATATTTATAGCAGGCTAATTTGTCATACAAGGCCACATGTGCCAGTAAATTTAAAGAGAACTCCAACAGCTAACTTAAATTTGCAAAGTAACTGGATGAATATGTTGTTTGTTTTAAATTGTTTCTTAAGATATTGTTAGTAGCTGATATAGTTTTCCAGTTATGGTGCTTTCTTTGTAAACATGCTAGAAAAGAGAAATTACAAAATCACACAATAGGATTCGTCAAGACTTCAGAGCTTCAGTGCATCAATGTTTGTCATTAAGTGTTCCAACGTAGTCATGGTAAAAAGCCTAAATGCAAACATGCTTGTTGCCTCAAGCCAGGCAGCTTTCTACAGTTCTCCATAATGTTATTAACTTATTTTATATGAGATCTTGTGGTTCATTTCAATGCAAGCAGAAATATGTCCATATTTCCTCTTCTTCCCTTAGATCAAAACCTTACATCCTTCTCTTTATAGTTAGGAAATGATCTTTTGGCCCATGTTTTCTCTTGAGAGTCGTAGGGAAAAGTGCTACTGCAGAAAGATGACCAAGCAGGCTGAGTTAGATTTCCTTCTGTTTTTCTTCTATTGCCTCTTCCATGTCTTACTACCACCACCATACAACAGGTAGCAGTGCCCTTATTAAGTACTAAACAAACTGTATTTAAGTTAAAAGAACTGAAATTAATGCATTTTTGTTGTTATTTCCTTGCCATGTCTAGATCGAGAGAGACAGAGAGAAAGAGAATAGACATAGTTATTTGTTACACTAATTTTTATATACTGACTCTGCAACATGCTATTAGAGCTGACAGTGCGAGAGAAGATAAACTTCATCGTGTTGTGTTTTACATTACTTGGTTTACATTGCTTTTTACACTCCTCTCTGAAGACCTTTGTGCAGTGAATAAGAGAGATCCTCCAACAGTGTGGAGAGGGATTGTTTTTAACATTTTAACCATTTAAAATTGTTCAAAAGCTTTTGTTTTAAGACAGTTAGTATTCTTGGCGTATGCAGGGACTTCCTTGCAGGGAGAGAGACACTAGTCCATCTGTTTCAGCATTCTTTCATTCAAGTAGCACATGCTTCAGAGGACAAGCTAGAAACTCTACTGTCCCTAATTTCTTCTGGGGAAAAAGTCTTCCATAGTGCAGTAGTTAAATGCTGACTTCAAATGTGAAGAGCTAGGGTTGTATGCCGTTCTTAAGCTTGATGGAGCAAGTGTGAATTTGTTGTTAGATGTGCCTAACCGTGATGTTACTGAGATGGCTGTATTTTCTAAACTCTTGCTTTCTTGAACCATATGATTGTCCTGCTTGCTGAAATGAAAGCTCTTCATCTTGCTGACTTGGGGTTTTATTTGACCACCTAATTTGGTCTCCAGGGAGCGAAAGCAACAAGCAGTGGAATTAGAAGAAGGAGTCATTCCAGATTCTCCAGTTCTGACTTCTTCATTTTCTGTCGTTAATCGTATGAGAAGAAAAAAAGAGAATAGGCATATCCGATACACAGAACATACACACCCAGATTTAGAACTTGCAGAGAGCAACAGTGGTAAGAGTATTGTATTTTATTTTTTTAATTAATTTTAAAATCTATTTTTAAGGCTAAAGAAAAAGATGATGTATGAATTTGATTGCAAAGGGTGAAAACTAAAAAAAAAAAAAAAAAAAGTCTTGGGGTTTTTTTGGTTTGGCTTTTTTCCATTTATGCTATAATACATGAGTCAGGGGAAAAACGTCTTTAGTATTAACTGTTATATCAGCAATGTGCTCAAAGCTTATCTCAACGTCCTACCTTTCTTCATCCACATACACATGCAAATATAACAGTTTTCCAACCTGTATCTCTTCTGTAACTCCAAACTAAAAAAATGTTAGTGTTTGACTTGTGCATACAGCTATGTCACCACCTAGTGGAGACTGAAATAAATGTTTTGCCACATTCGGCAATTATTCTGCAATTAAAGTAGTATTACTGAAACTGATAGATATCTAATTCTAGCAGCTATGTGATCTTTCTTTTTCTGGTACTGATACTCTGTTTGCATTTGTTTTGTGTCTAAGTTCAGAAGTATTGTGCACATTTAATTTCTAAACTTCATCCTGTAATGTCATAGAAATAGCTCTAATGTATTTTAACTGTAAGAAATATTTTTGTGAAATAAGGGACTTCAGGCTTGTATTTTAATGATACACAGGAAATATAAGAAGCAATCCAGGTGCTCTTAATGTGTTAATTTATCTTGTGGAATAGAAAAATAGTTTAAATAATATATGATTATATCTAAATATAAGTCTTGACTAAAAGCTTCTTTCCAAGAATAAAAATAGCACAATTGTAGGGAGAAGAGGGTGGGTTGGTTATTCATGCCCTTTGTTTTGCATATGTAATTTTAGTGCTGTGAATAGTTTCTCCTTTCTAAACATACCTACTTCTCTCCATTTTCTGAATAAAAAAATTGAGCTGCTAAATTAAACCAAAGTTAAATACGTAGGTAGTGGTGTAAATACCTATTAGAGTTAATGGCTATGAAAAGCTGTTGGTGTCCAGATAGAAAGGACTACATGGCACAAAGTTGGTCATGATTAAAATCTCAGGTTTTTCACCTTTTTATGACCTTAGCTGATGCAAAAAATCATTCCATTGGATGGTTTACTCTTTAATAGTTTTATTGCCATATTAACAGGTCAAATATAGATTGAATACATACTTTTTATGTGGTTAGTGTAGAAAGTGATGTAACTATGTGTCAGTATTGTTTTATGGCTGACTGGCTAGACTCATATTTGTGAGAGAAAGGATTAGTATGAAATATTTGTGGCTAATTTGTCATAGTGATACCTCAGTAAAAATAATCACATGTGCTTAGGTTACTGGATCTACTGACATATAAAAATTCACATTCGAGTGCTTTTAAGATCAGGATCATTGTCTGTATCTACACAAAATTATCACAACAGGATACCTAATTTCACTCTGTGAAAATGTTTCTACATCTTCTCCAAGAGTTTGGAAAAATTCCGCTGTATTCCACACAAGTCAACAGTCACCACGGAGAAGAGATACTAGTGCCAGACACCTGTGATCCACAACTGTCCCCTGTACCAAGTAAGTGTATTAAGAGATTTAGTTCTAATTCCATTCAAAATAAGGCAAAAATGTTGTAAAACTGAGGGTTCATCAACAGCTGAGGGTTTATCTCTTTAAACACAGGAGCTAGAAAAAGGATATTATATTTAATCACAGAATTGCTGCTGAAATGCTTATCTTGTAATGCCTGTCTGTATGCCACTAGATACATGATCTAGTGGCATAGCATCAGGGCTTAGAGTCAAGAAATAAAAAGAAGCTCAGCGCAGCTCTTACTGTGCAGATATCTTATATTTTAGGTGACTTTTCCCATTGTCTTACGTCTGATTTTCCAACCATACAGAAGATAAAATATTCTGAGAATTGCAGTTCTGTCTGACATGAATATGTAACATTTAGAAGTGCTTCTGTTAATTATTCCCTTTTTTGCAATTATGAATTGGTATAAGTCTTTAAGTCTTAAGTCCTTCTCCATAAACAGTTCTTTGATAGGAACTTTCTGTGTCCCTGATTTTTTTCTGTGAACTATTTAACTATAAATGACTGTGAGAATCAGCATTTTGGAATCATTCGTGCAGGTCAGGGTTGTGGTGGTTGTAGTTCTTGTACTTTCCCATCATATTACCCTGCCCCAGTTTAATAAACTGAGTAATGTTAAACCCCTGAAATAAGGGAAACTCATCTATTTGTTTTCCTAATAAAAAACACAGGAAGAATAATTATAAGTGTCGCCTCGGAAATATGCAACACAAGCATTTTACTATAAATATACATTATCGCTGTTCTATATGCTTTTCTCTGACTATTCATGCCCTGGACTGGGAGTTTGAAAAGCAACTTTTACATTGACTTGTCTTTGTATTTTAATTTTGGGGAGCTGTGTTCAAATTGGAAGCATATTTCTCTGTGATGATGCAGCAGTTTGCTCTCATCAGAAATTCTTTTGCCCCCCTTCTCCACTTATGCTTCCAGATACGATTTTTATCTGACACAGGTCAAACTATTTCCATAATTACCGATTTTAATTTGTGATCTTTTTAGTTCTGTGTTTGTACCATCTATGTGAGTAAGATATAATGTATATGTAACTTACTGTGAACTTCTTTTTACTCGTAAAGATAAACCAAGGATGGGAGGCTATCCTATTCCAAAGCCATCTTTTAACTTGGCTGCAGTTGTGGCAGAAACAATTGGACTTGCTGTTCAAGAGGAATCTGTAAGTAGTATTCCCAGATTTCTTATATAATCAGCTTTTTGTGCCAGTTGTTTTCGAAAACGGTATTTTTCTCTTTTGCATTAAAATTCTGCAAAAGTATTCAGAGTTCAAATAATCTCACTTTGATTTGCTTTTGCTTGCTTATTACAGAATTGCTCTAGCAAGAAGAGATATAACTCTGCTGACCTGTCCTGGGGTTGGGGAGGAGGGTAGGGGTGCAGTTCCTGCTGGGGTATACAACTTTCAAGTTTGACTAAGACAGTGGACTCAATCCTTGGGTCTGCCAAACTCCCTTTGTGCAATAATCAAGTCTAAGACACTAAAAAAGATTATTTGGCAGTGAGACTGGTGACTCAGGTGAGATTATTTGATGTTTTTGCTTGGTAACTGCAGTGAAAATTATAGTATGCAGACTATTTTTTTGTGTGTGTGTGCATTTGAATGATTAAATTTTTTTAATTTCCATAAGATTTCTTTAAAGTTGTTGGTCAAAATCTCATCTCTCTTGTAACTTGTTTTATTTTTCAGAGTTTTGAATGGTTCAATTTGAATGGGTCTTCAGAGTATATATGTGCAAACCTAGCATATTTCTAATGTTTAATTCTAATAGCTTCTCCCACTTCCTTTCTTTGTTTTCCTTCACCACTTGCAAGGAGTCCCAGAGTGTACTGAGTCCTCCCTGCACTAATACTGAAGTCCATCCAGCTTCTGAATCAAGAAAGGATGACAACAATTTAGGGTGTGTTTCCACTTGTTTATAATAATACTGTTTTAAACAGGCTTATATGAAGTTCTGGTTTTAGTAGAATTTAAAAACTTACAGCAGTTTACTTTAAAGGTACATACATGGAAATAAATATTTTCATATTATGCAGGCTTCTTTCAAGTAAATAACATCAGAAGCAAAGGAGCTGATAGAATGCAAAACTGCAGACTTTTACTTCATTCTCAAACTTCTGATTTGGGCTTTCTATGTACACAGTCCCTCCCTCACTGACTTCTTGTTATTGCGAGGTATCTTCTGAGGCCCATAAACCTGGGGGTAAGGGGCCTGGAGCTGGGGTAGGAAAATGATCATAAAACTTTTCTGCTGACTAGGTATCATACCAGTTGACTGTTGCCCTTCCCAGTCTTCTCAGGATGTTGTCATCTAAACTGATATATCTTTTAGCCCCTATTTGTCATCTTAAATCTATGTTTTATAAACAGAGTGCCTGAAGGAAGCTTGCACATTTTTCCTTCACTTGCAGAAGCTTTGAGCATCTGTTATCGTGGTTATACTGCTATCACAACCATTCTCACTTTCTTCCATTTCACTGCATTGAAAGGTAGGGAGTCCTTTGGTAGGAGAGATTCCTAGGTAGGCTTCATTCTGTCCTTGGTTCTCAGTTGAACGTGGGACAGAATTTCACACCATACTCAAATGAAGGACAAGGTCTGTGTTTTGTTTGCCTTTTACAGCTCTAAATGCAACAGTACTTACCTCCTAGACCAAAAATTTCCCTTTTCTTTTTCCTTCTGTTTTCAGTTAATACTAGCAGCTCTGACAGCTTTAAAGTAGATCACTGATAGGAAACTTAGTTTTCGTATATCTCTTTCTCTCCTCCCAGCCCCCTCCGTACTCCAGAAAAATATCTCATCTCTCATTGTATTCAGTCTTTCAGATCCATCTCAGAACACTCCACCACACGTTGACTGGGATTCTCAGGTAGCCTCTCCTGTTTTTGGAGCTCCTAGCAATATGAAGAATAACGCCAGTACAAGTCATGCCTCTTGTATTTTAGATTCAGGATTGAAGCCTAATCTCAAAACCAACCTCTTCAACAATCCTTCCAGTTCCAGATCTCATAAAAGTAGATCAAAATCTGAAGATGTTGCTTTTGTTGCACCACTGAATCTTGGAACTGAAATTAACTCAGTTATCAGCCAGGCCTCCATCAGTAGGCAAATGGTTGTGCAAAAGAATACTAATGAGGCTGTAACCTGTGTTGGAAACACTTGTGCAGCTAAAAATGAGGTGACCAAGAGCGATTTCCTTCTCATGCGCCAGAGGCAGCTAGAAAGCAGGTGTGCTAAGAGAAGGAAAGCTGAAGATGAGCATGCAATTAGCTGTGAAAAAACATCCTTCAACAAAGAGAACTCTATGCCCTTTCGATCAGATGTTCACCATATTAATGGGGAACATACAGTTGATAAGCCCTTGGATCTGTCTGATCGCTTCTCTGGAGTTCGTTGTCAAGAGAAAAAACAAGGAAGTGAGGAGACCTGTAAAAATAGACTGAAACAGGTGACTCTGCATGACATTTTTTCACAGCTAGGGAAGCCCATTCCTGAAGGTTCATCATCCATTCAAAATACCAACAATGAGAGCTGTTTGTTTGGCAGAGATTTACAAGAGGAATCCTATGTACAGGAGGCAATGCTAGGAAAAACATTCCCAGATAAGAAAAACGAGATCCAAATGAAAGAAGAAGTTCCTCCCTTCAGAACTGCACCACTGCCGAGTTCCGCAGAGACAGAGCAGCTTTTTGATGATGTGAAGGTATGCTTTTCTGACTTTTTTTTTTTTCTTCTCCTTTGAAATATTATATTTAAGTCTTGGGATATAGTAAAATTGCAATATGTTGTTAGGTTGCCAGTGGCCATGTACCAAATAGAAAGAAAACAAGGACAGGACATGGAGAGTCTGAACCAGCATCTGTACTTCAACCAAACCCTTGTAGACTATCAAAAAATAAAGCACTGCAAAATGAGCAAGGTAACTTGATGAAAATGTTCCTTTTGTTGCCTCCTGCCCTTCCAGCCTGTGCTGTGGTTGAATAGAATTTTTCATATCTTCTTTTCTTCCACTTAACCATTTTCTCTATTCTGCTTCTAACTTAGTCTCATCCTATTCAGGACTTCTCAAGATTACCCTCCACATTTTTAATCTGTCTTTAAACTCAACAGGCTAGGAATCTTGTTCTTTCTCATTTAGCGTTGTTGTTTACTGCAGCATGTGAATAACAGATACTGAAATAAAATCTCAGGAAGCTTGAGTTTAAACTATCTATATCAAATGCCTGAAAACTGCACTTAAGTGTAAGGATAAACCATTTTGTTAATATTTTTCATGATTCCTGATGATCTGTTACATTTGTACCTTTAATGATAATGAACAGATGCTGCCAAATACTCTTCCTAGAAGTTGTATCTTCTTTCCTGTTAAGTGGTCCCAGTCTGAAAACTTATTTTTTGGACTGGGATTGTAGACTCACTGGTTCTGTACTCCTTAGCTGAGCTGTTACACTGCATACTTATTTAGAAATACTTGCATTGTGAATTTAAAAAAAAAAAAATCTGTCAGCTGTTAGTGTGGCCATGTAGCTTGGAATCTAAACCTCTACTTCACAGCTAAGTCATGAGCCATCTCTGGAAAAATGACCAGACACTTTTGTACTCTTTCATGTTTTAAGACCTGACTTTTGTATTCTTATTGGTCTAGTGTCTTCTGTCCAGTAGTAATACTACTTGATTTACACAGTACAGAGGTTTTACCTGGAAGAGTATTTTATATATTACATACCTCATACAAACACAAGAGTGGTATGCTCCCTGAATATGACAAAAAACTTAAAGATCTATCTCTAACTCTTCAGACAAAATGTGATTTACACCAAATGAGCATGTTTATTTTTTGAGAAAAATCAATCCCTAAACCCAAAGATGAATTGATAAACAGAAAGCTGACTTATAATTTGGACACTATAGGATGCTGTTTGCAGAATTGGATTCTGATTATTTCCCTTTTTTCTCATGTTCTGTGCTCCCAGACCTGAAAGATAAATCTTCTTTAGAAAACCTCCAGTGGAGCATAGACCCAGGAGCTGACCTTTCACAGTACAAAATGGACGTTACCGTGATTGATACAAAGGTAAACTTGTGTAACAAGTCTGCATATTCTATGATATTGAAAAAAGCCTATGAAATTAGTATCATGAACTTTATTCTGGGCAGACCAAAACCACTTTTTAACAAAAATCTAAATTCAGCTCATTTGATATTTGTTTGCACTCCTGAAATGTTTGTTTATGCATAGTACACTAGTTATCCTAAAACATTTCCACTGTCTAGTTGTATTTGATAAACTCAGCCAGGTGGCTACTCAGTATGAAACTGATGCGTTTGGGGGTGGTTTGGGGTTTCTGTTAAGACCAAAAAATGTTCTAAATCTCATAATTTTTTTCTGTGAAAATGTTCACTGTGATAGCTCTTTATCTTAAGTAATAGAAAATGTGCAGATAATGACTATTGTCTTTCTATGAGTTGGGTGTACATTGGTTATTAGGATCTCTGAGAATTTTCCTGAAGTCTATTTGTTTTGTCTCTGAAAAGGTCTTCATTTGACCACGTTTTAATTTCTGTATGTTTCATTGTCACTTTTTATCTTTGTAGAATTTAACATGAAAACTTTTAAGGCATTTCTTGCCTATCAGGTAATGTAATCCACCAGATGAATGCTTCACATTTGAATTTCAAAACATGTTATTCTCTTACCTAGATATTAGGTCTTTATCATACAGACATTACTGCAGAAAAAACATCACAGAAAGTGTCCAAAAAGATGCCAGTAACTGTTGTGAAAGTGTTTCAGATATACAGCGATGACACTGACTACACCAGTTGCTTCTGAGTGCAATTGTCATGTTTGCTTTTCCTAGGGTGGTTCTCAGTCAAGAGTCGGAGGGGAAGCTGTTGATATGGATTATACATACGTTAATGACAGTGTGCTATTAAAATTGAAAAATCAAGAGCAAAACCAGGAAGGCAGTCCAAGTAAGACTTTTTTTTTTTTTTTCCCCCCTTTGGTTTGCATTTTTTTTTAGTGAAGGGCAATTTTTTCCCCCTGTATGAATAAATAGTAGAAAATGGTTTGCAGCAAAACAGCACAGATGTATTTTTGTAAGTTACAAAGATCAGTCTGTTTCCTAGTAGAATCAGTGCTTGTTGTTGAGGGGTTTTTTTAACATCAATTAAGAAAATGATAGGTATTGTGCTGAGATAGAGCCAGTATCTATGCTTTTATAGTGCTTAGAGTTAAATACTTAACCATATAATAGTTCTGATCTCACCTGCAACAATCACTCTTACGACAGCTTTGAAAGTTCACTATGTAATCATATCAGACTTTCTGTGGGAAGACTAATTTCATTTTTAATGGCATATAAATAGAACTAGTATACTTAAATCCAAATGTGTTTCTATCACATTTAATTTATGGTATGTGGTGAATCACAGCTGCAGGGCAGTGACTTTTAATGGTGTGTTTTGTTTTTTTAAGCTGTTGCAACTTGATCACATTTCCGTAGTTTATCTCCTACCCGCAGAAAGTATTTCTTTCTGCTTGGATAACTCCCTAATTACAAGAACAAAAATTTCATGTATCCAGTATTAAGGTTAAAGGTATATCAAAGTGATTTAGTAATTAATAAAATTTTAGAAATGCAATCAAGGTATCTTTATGAAAAATAGATGAGCATTGTCCACATTTAAAAGATTGACAGAGAAGTTGCAGAAAGAATAAACGTATCACTGGTGTTTAGTTAAGCAGTACTGGAGTAGGAAGTAAATGTTAGTTCGTTTGATACACATTCAATCAAAATACGCTTTCTTGACTTAAATTGTTGAGAGACTGATTTGGATGTTCATTATGCTTTTTGTAATAGGAGGAGAAAAAAAAATGAATGATACTTTAACAGAAATGTTTGATCGGACAACCCATGAAGAATATGAATCCCACCTACCAGAAGACAGTCTTTCTGCTGCATGTGATGAAAAAGAAACTCTTCATGATGAAGAACAGGATAAGGGAATAACAGCAGCAAGCAAGAAACTAAAGAGTGGGATATAATTTGTTTTGTCTTTGCTAGCCTGGATAAACTACAAAAGTTGATTTGAAATGCAGCTCTGTTCTCTAGGAACAAATATGCTAAATAAACCATGAGTTCATTTTTCGTAAATACATGGGAAAATTTGTTCATTGTAAGGACATAACATAAACGAATATGAAAATTATTTTGGTAGTTCATTTATATAGCCACCACACAAATATGGGACGTGTAATGGAAGTTGGCATAGGAGGTGTACAGCAAAGTGACTCTTACAGAAAACACCAGGTTTTGGCTGCAGATTACTTGCTTCCTTTCTTCTCCCTATCCTAGGTTCAATCGAAGGTTTCGCAGTGTTTTGTATTTTAAGCAACCTTTCCTTTGCTACTTTTTTACTTGTCTTGCTGCTGTTTTCCTTCTACTCCAGTAATGCTTTTTGATCCCTGGTTCAATCCTATGTATTTTTAGTATCTGTTTGAATCTGTTGTCTCAGACTGAACGTACATGATATTTTTGTATTTCTTAATAGCTGGCTAATAATTTTACAGACGTTTCTCCAGGCAGTCTGTTAACCTTAAATGACATGTAATTTTTTGTTTTGCATGTATATTTACAGAACATGAGGATAAACAAGATAGAACCAAGCAGAAAGCTTTTGTAGAGCCATATTTCAAAAGTGATGACAGGTAATTTAGTTTGTTCTGTATAGGCATTTTAAGGCTTTTTACATCCTCCCTATTGGGAACTTGTTCTTCCATAAAATAAATGTGTTTGTGTATACTGTACTAGCGGCTGAAGATGCACAGGTAAAAGATCTAGTGAATTAGATAAAAGCCTTAGATAAAAGCTGGGGCAGGGGGGGGAAAAATAAACATATTGAGATGCCTATCTATCACATTTGCTGAAGAGAAGGAATTGCCTCTTCTGCTTTTTATAATTTTATTTAATGCAGTATTTTGTAATCCACATTGTTTCTTACAGGCATGTGGTCATGCATGAGTTTATGAGCAAAGAGCCTAAGGGTTGCTTGTACAAATAAAAACCTTTCCTTCTCTGGCATTTTTTGCCCCTTCCTCTAGGCAATAAATGAGTAATGTTTAACAACTGTACCTCTTAGTGCTTCCTCTATTGCCTTTCTGTATAATCATCATTGGTAGTCTGAATCGTCATTTCATGATGATACCAACCCCTTCAGTTAAATAGTTGTTAGCTTGTTTTTCACCTCAGCATATGTTTTCTTTGTAGAGGAAAACTTGTTTAGTGTTTTGTGAGCAGATAAGTTGAAAAGAATCTGTTAGTTCTGTTCTTGAACCCCAACATACATTCCTCTTCCAGAAGTCAGTGCAAGCACAGCTGTGTCATGGACAAAATAAATATTCTACAGAAGATCTATATTTGAGTAATTTTGATATAATAATTACTTTCACACTATGAAAAGCCATAATGAGGAGCTGCACGTCTCTGTTTATGTAAAAGACCATATTACATTTAAAAGACCCTGGAACTGTTTTAGTTACAAAAATAGTTGTATTCAGCTGTGAAATGCAGTATGATTGGGTTTTGCAGGCACTTTCTGATATTTTTTCTTTTCTTGAGACTCTCCTTCATTGTGTTCTAAACACCAAAAATTTCCAGACATGTAAGAGAAATAAATGTACTATCGTGTGAAAACATTTTTCTTTTTCAGAAAGAATACTGTGTTAGATTTTCCTCATATTGAGGTTATTCGAAAAAAAGAAGAAAGAAGAAAATTGCCTGGCCATACTTGTAAGGAATGTGAAATAGTAAGTAGTGCGTTAAAAGCTGTCTTCCATTTTTTTAACTCTGCTAGTATCTAAGTGCTAAAGTGCTGTTGAAATTGTGAATCTGGTTGCATCATCGTCAGTACCTACAGTAGCAGAGAAGTAAGCATTTACCAAAGCTGTTTTACCAAGTTTTGGGTTGGTTGGTTTGTTTTTAACTGTAGTAACTGCATATAACTTTAAAAGTCTTTTTTTTTTGTGCATATCTGTATGAGGATAGAAACTTTTCACATCATGGTTCCAGTAAGATTTTTGTTAATGAAAAATACACTAGCTAGTCAAAGAATGATTACAAGTTTCAAAACTTCAGCTCAGAAGCTCTACTGAAATTTACAGGTACTGGAATAAGTAAGTTCTATGTCCTGTTGTACCGCTATATATAGGTATATCTTGATTTGGTTTTGTTTTGGTTTTTTTCTTGTTTTCTGGGGCGTCTGCATTTTCAGATAATTGCACCAGCATAGGTGCCAATGTGTATATATGTGCAAATGCATGCAAAAATGTTTACATTAGCAGGTTAAAAAGTATGAAATTTTAGGTTTCACGTTACACTTTTTTCTTCCCTTTCAAATTACTATATTTCTTTCAGATACTTGGTATAGAGACAGAATATTGAAGTAATTACATGTGTAATAAGGACATATTTCATTTGGCCGTTAATAGATTTTGAGGCTGGAGTTAATTAGGTCATGATCTTATACATTATGACTTGCCAGGAGTATGGATTAATGACTGAATAGTGATGGATTTTCTGGAATCTTCTCACTTAATTTCCACACCTATATAGAACCAACATTTTTTCATAGATTCTCCTGCTGTTCACTTTGTAGTTAAGTCACGTTTACTTAGCTGAAGAAATGTATTAGAGTTTATTTTTAACAAAAACACATTCCTGAAAAATAGCTTTGGTAAAACTCATTAAATACAAATAATTAAGTTTTACAGTCAACTATAACTACCATTTTCAAAAATATGTTTGATTTTAAAAGTTTGAAAGAAAACAAGATGTTGGAAAAAAACCAAAACAAAACCAAAAAACCCCACACTTTCAGTCTGTTTCTTGGCCCAAGAGACATGTGTTGAGTGTTTTAATTTCCTGTCTCTGTAAGCTACAGATCTCTCAGCAAATCCAGTTCTTGTTACTTTCTGGCAAGTTAAGAGTGGTAACTATGGTGTTGGAAACATTTACAGCTCCATTTTTACAATATTAAACATCAAATTTCTACATTAAACCTTACAAACGGGTTTTGGGTTTTGGGGGGGGGGGGGGGGGGGGGGTAGAGAGATAAAACGGGGCCACTGCGTGTAAACAGGTGTCAGCATCTCATCAGTTGTCCTGGCATCTCATTAAATTTCATTTCTAACTGTTCTCCCGGGTGAGGAGCTCTATTCTGGCGTGTTTGGGGGGGGGGGGGGGGGGGGGTGTTGGGTTTTTTTTAAGTCTATGCCATCTAGACGAATGTCTTGGAATGCGTGGAATGCTTGGCTGTGTCATTGCACCATAATAAAACTAGCTTTGAATGAAATGCCTATGGAAAAAGAGTATTAGACAAAGCATAAATGATGCTTTAAAAAAGTCTTGGCTTACTTATTAGTCATGTGGGTTTGAAGAGTCTCCAAGGTCTAAGGAAATACTTAGGGAGTCGGTAGAAATCAGTAGATTGTTTCTGGCTATGTGCTGCATGCAGTATGAGAGTGGGGAGAGTTATCTGTCATTTTGAGAAGACGTGAGAGACTTGACTTCTGTACATAGCATAGCAGACTGATATCAAAGTCCTTTATAGGCCCTTATCTTAAAACTTTGTGGAAGCATCTCATTCACTTTACAGTGTAGAACATTTGATAAGAGGTCTTGTTTTGGTTTGTTATGACTTTGCAATGCAATCAGAGAAAGATTGTATGCAGGAGTTACTGGTAGCTTGTAAAAGTAACGTTCGTTAGTGTTGTTATTAAGTCTAGCTGCGCTTTAGATAAGTAGGAGAATCAGTCAGATGTTTTCATATATATTTAGATTACAAAAAATACTCTATAAGTATCTTTGTGCTAAACTAATGAGAGGAACATTTTAAGGGTTTGTTCTCTTTTTAGAGACTGCAAGTTGTAGAGTTCTGTAAACAATTCTTTTACAGTGAAGATACTGCAGGATGAGATTTTGCATATCTTTTCACATATGTAAAAGCCTAGCTCGAATGTTTTGTGTGGGTTGAAAATGCTGTGGATAGTGAAATCAATCTAGAAAACAGCTGAGAGTTTTTTGCTCTTTAGCAGACACGTAGCTGTGTCATTCTTTGTCAACCCTAATAGATTTCTAAACAAGCCAAAATTAAAAAAAGTTACTTTCAAATTTCTTTTGAATACATACTTAGCTTGATTATTGATTGGTCTTTTTATTTTCTGTTCCTACAAACTGTACTGTATTTTTCATTGTTTGATCCATAAATATTCCTCATCAATCATAAACATTTTAATTCCAAAAAAAATGCAGCACACTGTAAACTTTTAGTAGGCCGATTTCGAAAATTCCAGGCTATTTAAAGGACAAACATAAGGTGCACTGCTAATTATCCCTAAATAAGACTCAGCTATTAATCTATTTGGTTTACACAGATACTGTAGAATTCTTATAATTAATTTTGTTGACTTAACGCCATGTCATTTCTTAACTTTTATCAGTGAAGACTGATGTGTATTAGATGATAATTACCTGTTCCTTTTCTTTCATTAGTCTCTAGATCTTCAACTGAGTGACACAGACATTTTTCTAGCTGGGTCTCTGAAGTCCAGCTGCATAAGTGACCCTACTCTATCTCACTCAGTCCCCAAGCTACTGATGTCCACTTAAGTTCTGGTCTTGGCACAGGCTTTTTCTTGTTTAAGGGAACATTGTATAAGGCAGTGGCAAACTTTTTCAAACTAAGTGCCTCCAAATTCAGTGACTGAAAGGAGTTCTGCTGTCAGAAGTGTGGGAGTATCCTGGGCTTATACACAATACATTTTGAAGAACCTTTTACTAGGAGCTCATAACCATTCCTGAATACTATCTTTGGAACTGACAGTTTCCTCTATCCTGCGTACCAGGACTTGTAGGCAGACCAGTCATCTGAAATTTTGGGTGCAACCTGCTAACAACCTGAATCTCTGTTCTTGACCAGGAGACGCATGTGTTACTACATCAGATTCCTGTACTAGTAAGGGCTTCAAGAGCAGAATATGTTCTGGTGTCACACTTTGTAAAACGGCAAGAAATGTGAATTGATTTGGGGAGGGAAGAAAATGTACCTCAGTTTCAGGCAGAGTTGCAGTTTCCACAAACTACAGAATCACAAAATGAAACAAGTCTATTTTTCCTAGTTCATGCAGTTTTGTCACTGACATTTTCACAGCTGTGATTACTCTTTTCTATGCAATCATCAGTATTTATCTCTCATGATTTTTTGGAGGAGGATTTTTATGCCTATTTTATACTCTGTCTGCCATCTAGTAGGAAAAAAGGGGTTTATTAGTGTACTTTATGATTCCAAGTAAGTAGGTTTTCTGAAATCCTACCAGTAGGTGGAGACAGGAAGTAATCTCTGTTCCTTTCCTGATTTCCCCAGTCTAGATCACTTTCCAGCTGATTGGATGAGGTTTTAAACTTTAGTTTGCCTTTTTGAATTGTAACACTGTCGTTTCAGTAGAATTATTTTACCACTTTTATGAGGGTCAGGTTTCTTGTGCAATCCAGATGGTGACTGTTGGCTTGCCACTTGAATGAGATAGTGCATTTGCTTTGAAAGTATTTTGGTACTCTATGATATCTAAGTGCCAGATTGATATTTTCAGGAGATGCTAACTAGAATCACAAACTAAAACAGTAGAAAACTGCATGAAAAAAAACCTGTCTTTCTATAATGCTACTCGTGGGAACACCCAGCAAAAAAGTTTGGAGAGTGTAGATACTTTTCTTGTTGCAGCCCCCAGTACAGCTGACAGGGATGAAAGAGTAGCTAGCCAATTTACTATGTACTCTAGAAAATGCCCAGGTGGCAAGTAGTTTCTGGAGCCCCACTGTCAGTCAGCTAGTTAAACTAGCTCTTTATTTACTCCTAATTTGAGGGTAATAAAGTAAGAAGCATTTTGACTTAAGTTTGCTGTTACTACTGTAAATTTAGACACGGGAAATAATTCTGCAGTATGGATTTTGTAGTGCATTTTTTCACTTTTCTATTTTATTTGAAAATGCGAGCTGATACTTAGAAAAGAGTATTAGAAAATTCCCATCTACTTCAACACCTGTGCTACTTAGCTTTGTAAAATCAGTCAGTAAAACTGTTGACATAAGTAATTGTAGACAAGCCTAAACCTTATATCTATGGTATGTTAAAAGATATAAAGCTAACAAACTTGCCACCATAAGGTTACACTTAATCTGTAAATTCAGTAAGCTTTTAGGATAATGGCCAGGTGTTTGTCATTTTGGATAACAGATGTCTACTCCTGGCTATCCTCACCATTATTTTTAGATAACTGTGTTAATAAACAGTGATTGACAATGTCATTGTGTAAAGCAATTGCTCCATATGTATGAATTTGTAAACTTGATTTTTTTTTTTCCCCTGACATTCAGTATTACGCAGACATTCCAGAAGAAGAGAGAGAAAAGAAACTAGCTTCCTGTTCAAGACACAGATTTCGCTACACTCCTCCAAATACTCCTGAAAATTTCTGGGAGGTTGGATTTCCTTCCACCCAAACTTGTGTGGAAAGAGGTTTGTGCAAAAAAGGCTTCCAAAGCACTTTTTAAAGCCTATTTTTTTTTCCTCCTAAAATAGTTCCCTGAAATATCTCTAGTTCCTAGAGCAGCCTTTCTTAGCCAGTCTTGTTGAGGTCTGTTTACTTATCAGCAGCCATTATTTTAAATACATATTTTCTTTTTTTTAGCAGCTCCTGTACTACTAATAAGAAGGGAATAAAAGGAAACTTTCTTAGAGCCTAGATAGAGAAGGCAGAAATAATGGGATTTTCATAGAACTTAATTAAAACCCTACATGTCTTTGAACCAAAGCAAGAATTGGGTCAACACTTTCAAAGGCAAAGGCTGAGAGATTGTACTTACTGAGGAGAGACAGGCAGCCCTGTTCATGTCCTTTGTCTGTATCTTTAGAGCTCCATAATACCACATGATAATGGAAATGTTGAAGGTAGGGTGTCATTAAATAGTTTTTAATACGGGTACCCTGCTTGTTAGTAACACTCAAAAGCTGGGTTGTTTGGTTTTGGTTTTGTTTTGGGTTTTTTGACTCCTCTTCACACAGGAGATTGTTCTTCCTACATAATTCTTCTAAATCCTAGAGCTTGGTATAAAAATGAATTTTTACTAATGATGTTAAAACATGGTGAGTTTGTAGTGTACTATATGTACATTTCTTCAGAAGTGGTGAAACTCTGAGGTAAGGAGCCCTATATGAACTCTGAGTTACTTAGGTCTTTATTTGTGCATATGTTATTAGCTGTGAAGCATTAATCTTCCTTTATTTTTATCTATTCTTGTAACAGTTGCAGGTCAGGCATAGGAAAATGTAGCCAGAGATGCGTATGTGTTCTTGTGTGATAGTGTTGCAGTATCATCCTTAATCTCTCGGATCAGGGAGCCTGGATTTTTAGGGACTTACATGACTTTCATAGTGCAAATCATACTGCTCAATCAAGATAATACTGAGTTGAGTTCATTTAAATTTAAAGCTGTATTTCCAAGAAATATGTGTATTTCAAACACGATGTTCAGAACTTTAAGCCTCCCCCGCATTGTGGGGGACAAATGTCAAATTTGCTCTTGAAGCCCTAATCAAGTTTCCCCCTTCGTAAATATCCACTGCAAAGGGTTAAGCTAGTTATAGAATTTACAGGCCGTTAAGCTTCCTTGGGCTTGGTTAGGCTTGAGGAAAATGGTTCTTTTTTCCCATCAGTTTGTCTCTGGTATCACATAAGGGAAAGTGAATCCCTCAGTCCAGCTAGCCAGCACCTCAGGAACGCTGCTGAATTGCCGCTTCCTCTGTGAGTAGTCTCTTTCCTCTCTTGTGTATCCAGTTAGAGAGGGCTTGGCTGGGGCTAATCCATTCCTCCTTTACCTTAAGTAATGAGAGAGTTCTCACCATTCTACAATCATCTTTTGGTTCTTGATCATTACCTTTTAAGATGAACAAATCATAGTCCTTCCTCTTCCAACCTGGTTGCCTCTTACCTGTTCCAGCCGATGAGAAAGCTGGTCTAAACTAGGCATGTCCATTTATAACTTCAGGTGATCGAGAGATCCTGTTAGGGAGACTGTCTGTTACTACCCATTTGGAATCTGCTTGCAATCTCGTTAAAATTATCTTCTTGGCTATCTCCTTGTTCTGCTAGAGTAAGAGCTGTTCAGTTGTTAAGGGTCCTCAACAGCATATCAGAGGCAGACTTTAGATCAGCCCTTTCTTGGTAAAAAGACGTATTATACAAGAGTGCAGCAAGACCACCAAAACACCAGAGAGAGTTCCCATGATGAGCAATTGCAGCTGTCATTCAGAGATAGTGGAGTACAAAGGATGTATTTTCTACTTCTTACTGGTATCTTGAACCAATTGTGATTTCTGTTGGTTTTTTTAAATAACTGAGTTGCATAGACAGCATTTTCCAACTATGAAGTAGGAATCTACTACTCTCACTTCAGCAGATGTTAGTGCTGATAAACAGTAAGGGTTTGACAAAAGCCAGGTGCTGTAACTGATTTGCATAAAATGTCTGCTTCCTACCAGTGTTAGCCAAGTTGAGCGTGTTATAGAAAATTTCTATATACTTTTCTTTATCAGAGTTTTCAAGGTGTGTTTGATCCACAGGTTCATGTTTGCCCTTTTCCAGATGGATAAATCTTCAGTAAATGAGAATGACCTCAAAACAGAGGGATGTACTATTTAGACCCACAAAGCATGCACGGCTGAAGTTTCCTGTGTGTGACTAGGAAATACATTTCAAAAAGTGATTTTTTATTAGTCAACGGAATTTGCAGTACTTACATACTTTGTTACTCTTACGTAAAAATCTTCAGTAGAAAAGACAACGACAAATGCAATTTTGTTTTGAATAGATGAACAGTTCATAGTTTCCATTCTCCAGTATTATCTGTCTGTATTGCATTACTATGCAGTCATCTACTAGAAAGCAGCTGAGCGTTTTCATTCATGATATTGCACCTTGGGATCTCTACCTTTCTGTCAAGTGAGAACCAGTTGCCACAAAAGGAAAAAAAAGTAACAAGTTGGTTTCTGAGGGTAAACAAAAAATGAAACTAAAGTTATGTGTGTTTTTATATTGTCTTTCTTACCTCAGATTTGTTCTTATTCTTTTAAGGATATATTAAAGAGGATCTTGCTCCCTGTCAACGTCCAAAAAGACGGCAGCCTTATGCTGTAATGTTTTCTCCGAAAGGCAAAGAGCAGAAGACATAAAGGATGGCGAAGTAAGGCACGCCAACTTGAAGAGTATCTTTCCTGTCCTTAGATATTTATAGGTAATATAAACTTGAAATAAAGAACTGTTTTCCACAATGATAGATAAATCATTTCATTAAATATGTAAATTTTATAAAATTCATTTGAAAATCTGATGTACCAGGACACAAAACTATTTAATGTATGTTTGTTTCATATTGTGTTAATACATTTTGTATTAATTTTTGCACCTGTCAGACAGAGTCTCCCATTTTTTTCTTTGAAGTCAACAGCTAAAATTCCAGCAAATCCTGTGTAAACTTTGTGTCAGTGAGTAACTGCTTTGAAGTCACTGAAATCAGTTGTTCTTGCAAGGTCTAAATGCCTGTCAATGGGAACAGAAATGCAGATTTTGTAGGATGCTTCTATTTTGCACTGGATTTTTTTATATAGCCTTTCTCTTTTGACAATAATGGTTATATCTGCTTGTAATAAAGCTGTATTAAATATGAAAGGTATCTACTGTTAATAGTTTGGAGGTATAAAAACCATGTAGTCTGTGTCTTTCTTAAATTTTTCTTTTATATGTACAGGACCACGTTTTCCTCAGCATTTAAATTAGAATATCCAATTTTTTTTTTTTTAATTTGGATCTGTTTTGTGTATCTATGTCTCATTTATTGATGAGGAGATAAGCATTGTTATTTCTAAAGCTGGATGACAGGTATGCATGGAGTTCTCCTAGGTGATGACCATTGCTGTCCGCTAGATTATCAACAATTCTCCAGAGGTATTTTAAATTAATTTTTTCTAGCAGGGGATATAGTTTCATACTTGCTTTTGGAAACTAAAAGCATACAGTATCACAGAGGCAGGGTAATGCTTTTACATAGGTAGGCAGGCCAAAGATCACTATAAGATACTTAAGAATAAAATAGCATTCTAGGATAGAATAAAATGTTCAAGCAGCATACAATAGGAGGTAGGTTCAACCAGTAAGAATTCTCTTTAAAAAGATCATAAAGCAAGCAACTGTTAAAATGTCTTAAACCAAAATAAAAGAAAGTACAGATATTTATATATATATATCTAAATAAAAGTATCTGTACTTTCTGTTCTTCTATTTTATATATATGTGTGTGTGTGTATAAAAAGATATGTGTGTAAAAACTTGGTGGATAAGACCATTTAATTCCAGGTGTAGTTATATAGGAGTTGTGGTAGGTTCTGCTGGTGGAGAGGTTATGGCATATGCCTAAAAAGAAAACTAAAAATATTTGATTAATTTAACTGTAAAACTAAGTAACACAAAATCCTCTTAGGCTGAAACCACAGGCCTTGCAGAAAAATAGAAGACGGTGTATCACTAGGCACTGTCCCCCTCCTACCTGCTTAGCTGATTGATTTGCTCTAGCATTTCACAGGGATATATCCTAAGGAATAGCAAAGGCACAAAGCCAAATAACAATGAAAATCTTCAGTCATTCCCATATGACAATAAATGCTTACACACTGTAAATGTTCATTTCTTGGAGCAGGTAGTCAAAGAATCCATGCCAAGGAAGGTCCAGTTACCTGAAAATTAGAAAGCTTTGAAGAAAATTAACAGGTGCTGCCAAAAAGGTGGAATTCTTGCAGGTATCTTGAAAATTGTTTTAAGACAATTATTACATGGTCTGAATAAATATTTATCCATCAAAAAAAAGCTTTTGACACAGAAAGTAAGGTAGGAGGCTGCTTTTAACTAGGGAGAAGCTTTACAAAGTAGAAGTTATGTCCAGAAAAAGAAAAGTGGAGACACATTGTAACTCATCAAATGTAAAATTTGCTATAAAGCAGGCTATATGAAAAAGTTTCTTAAAGAATTATTATAAATCCTATTTTTAAGAACTATCAGAAAGAGTAAATTTCACAGTAAGTTGGTAAATGATCAAACTATACTGGGAACACTTAAAGGTAAGGTGACAAAAGCTGGGATTTTTGCACTGATGTTCATTTTGGAAGTGCTAAAGAACCTTTCTTTGCAGGGAGGGTGGGAAGAGCCGTTGTGAACGGAAATGGCAGTAAACGTCAATAAAACGCGTGTCGGCAAGCTGCCAGCACTGGAGGCTACTCCCATGGATTCAAAAGTCGGAGAAGAAACTGCTAACTCCCTCACTATAGCATGGAACTTGTCACTTAGAGTAGCTTTTGATGGCCAACGAGTACAAAGTGACAATTCTGCCATCAGATTTTAAAAAAAGACTTCAAGGAGGTCAGTGGAGCTGCAGCCTGATTAGTTTTATGGAGTATTGGAAACAGTGGGGTAATTGGTAAGAGTGTAACGAACCAGATTTGCAGACCTAGGGATAAATACAATGTGAAGAATCGATACTTTTTAAGGGCAAGGCATTCTGCTGGTCTTTTCAGACTCTTTGAAGGTGTGAAAGCATGGTTCATCTGACAGCTCATAGTAGAACCACCGTGTCATGGCATAAACACAGATTTGGTCATAGATGATACCTGTTTAAAGGTACATCAAATCACCACAACAAGAGGAGATTACTGTGGGGTTCTGCTAAGACCTGTAACATTCCGCTTGCTTATAAGTGTTTTCAGAAAGGGTGGAGGGCAAAGTAGAAAGCTGGTTAAATTATTCACTGTGCAAGTAGAACTAGCATAGAGAACAGAAGGAGGGAATTTGCACAGCAGAAGGTAAGATTCAGTCTGAAAAGGAGATGCAGAAGAAGGGGTGTGACAGATGCCAGTAAAGTCATGAAGTGTGGAAACAGTAAATAGGCGGTGTTGCTCTCTAAGGGGCATCAGCAGCAGGTTTAGTTACAAGCAGAAAGGAGCATCTTCCCACATAACCCAATTGAACCTTGGGTTATGCTATGGAACTGCTGCAGGATGTTATGGATACAAAATGTTTGGGCAGGTTAAAAAATATATGGTGGAAAGAAGTCATCAAGGATGTGTTAACGATACCACTGCCTCAGGAGTTTTTGAAGTCTAGCTTACAGGAAGCTGGCAGAGTGTCTTGGGGGAAGTATCTGTGTGTCAGTAGGTGTCCCTCAGTCTGGTTGTACTTCATGTTCCATACTGCCAAAATTCCACAGTATATTTACTAGAGAGTCTTACTATCTGATGTGCCGTTTCCCCTTCAAAATGTGATGTACCCCAGCTTTTGGTCTGCATCTGCCAACTTAGGAATAGCTTAAGAGTTGTGTCACTAAACGTATGACATGTATGCTGTGTCCACAGGTCTGTAGTTGTAAAGCTTGTTTGAAATGTGCCATTACTTAGACTCTGCCATTTGATGCTAAGTTCTGCTTACTTCAGAGCTTGTTAGTATTTCAGCTGAAAAATACAAGAGACAATGTGCAGAGATTTATGACATAAGGGTGAGCAATGTACAATTGAATATTTTAGCAATATGCACTTTTTTTTTTTGAAAGGTGGTTAGTGTCCGTGAGGACAGTACTGCTCCACTAGAGGACAGTAAGGAACTGCTTTTATATGTAAAACAATATGAGAACTACCCTTTTTTTCCTCTCTAATTAGTGAAATTTTTGAGACTTCAGTTGCCTTTAAAAATTTAGATCTCTTGCCTAGCTGTTCTCGTGCCAGAAAAAATATTTCACTATTGAGAACCAAACTTCATCTTGACAAGTAAGAGATCAATTAAAAAAAAAAAAATCTAGAAACAAGAATAGAAACAAGACAGCTGAGATAGACTATGAGTAAGAGAAATTCCTAAAGAAATACCAGAAGTCTGAGCAACTTTCGTATACCAAAAAAAAGACTGAAATTAATAAATTTTAGAAATTCAGTTACAGATTTCTATTTGCAGTAATTTCTAATTGTGGCTTACCTATATTTTTAGCAAACTCTTGCAATAGTGTACATTTTTTGCCCTGAGGAAATGGAAGGAAAAAGGGAGCCAGTCAAACCCAACAAGGAAAGTCTGCTAAAAAAATAACCTCGAAGATTGTTACATTCAGAATTAGCATTGGCCATCTTTGTACTCTTTATGGCATGGCAGCACATTGCGATTGCGGTCAGCTGCGCTGTCAGGGGGGTGGACTGTGTTCTTTGATGAGCTGTTTTTCTCCATATCTGTACGCAGTGAAGAAGAAAGGGAATTTCGGCTAAAAGCCATAAGCTGAAGTGGGTTGGTGTCTTTGGAGGAGATTTGGACGATTGACTAAAACCGATGTTTATGAGCCAAGTACTTGTAGACTTTCTGACATGAAGCCACTACTCACAAGTCGAGAGAGGGGGAAATTTCTTCAAGTGTATTCAGGTGTGAGCATCCAAATGGGAGTCTGTGCATAGCGGTGCCTGTTGGCACCTCCACCACCTGGCCCTCCTGTCAGGACAGCCACAGCTATCTTCCCGTTTCCTCTCCTTGTCTGTGATAGTGTCTTGGCATTCAGATGTGTCCACATGCTGCCTCTTCTCATTTTATGAAATAAGGGAAAACTTAGGGTAATTAATGCTAGGATTTGTGCATCTTTTTTAATGAATATGTAGATATATAATGCTACCACATTAGCCATGACTGGGAGAATTTGACAACTTCATGCCCTCATGGCAGCCTCATCCCACCCCTGTTTATAAGAATCTGTCATAGTAACAACCCCCAAAGTGACAGTAATATCTACAAACGCATCCATTTGACACCATCAAAAACAACCCCTGTTGGAATGCGTTGAAGTAGTTAATGAAAGTCAGCTTTTCTTAACTCGCATCCAAGGTCACGCTCAGGGGTTCCAGCAGAGCTTTTTTGGGAGTACTGGGGCACGGAGTGTTGCCCCTGTATTCCTAGTGATTTATTCCTAGTGATCCTTAGCATACATTCAAGTTTGTGATGTTAAGACGCTGGCATGGGCCCAATGGTGGTACGGCCTTCAAATCAGTGGCCTAGTGTCATTCCCCAAAACCTCAAGATGGCAAGTTGATGGCTTTAGCACGTCCAGAGCGCTATCTGTCCAACCTGCAAACAGATCTCAGCCTGAAAAGCAAGGCTTTGATCATAAACCGTTTCTTGGGCTGCTTGGAGCACAGAAGTCAGATGGATTGTTGTTAAAATGTCCACAGGCAAGCTGCATTTCCTGCACTGCCTGCAAGGCCAACTCGGTCATTAGTTGCTTTTAATTAGTTGTGCTTTTGAACTTTGCCTTTCTCACGCCGCAAGGATGGATGGCTTGTCCCTAATGAAGCAGGAGGAAGACAATGTCTGTCTGCTGATCAATGGAAACTCCTGTCAGAAAAAAAACAATGCAAGAGAACAAAATTGTAGGCAGGGGAAGAGAGCGGTGAGATGCTAGTTGTTGATGGATCATGGGGTATCAGTGGGCTCTTCTTTTTAGACATAATCAACAATAAAATCAGCCTGGCATTGTTGACCCCGATCCTCAAAGAAAGGGCTTTGCTATTTTTAAATTAATTAGTTGTGGAAAATTTGGAAGAAAGAACTAACGATACCTTCTCTCGTGTGTTAGTGCAGAAAGACTGCTCGGTCTGAACAGA